GGAAGGAGGACCTGTCATGTGTCTGAATTCCTCTACACCTCTGTGCCTGGATCACCAAGTGCCCAGCCTTTGGAGCTGGCAGCACTGGGCCAAACTCAGCCTGAGTGGAGTGACCACACTTTGTAGGAGAGCATGGGAATCTTCTGAGATGGGCACTGCCAAATTCCTGATCACTCTTACACATTAGAAGTAAGCCAAGCTAGCAAGAATCCAGGAGGACACACACAAGAGAGGGAAGGGAAGGGAGTAACCTTTGCAGTGCAGTGTGGGGGACATGGACATGAGAAGAGCATCCTGCCTGTCAGAATATATTTCTGCATTTTATATTTCAGTTTTTACCCAGTTATTAAAGCAATAATAGGACAAAAACTGAAGCTCCCAAAGGAGCAGCTCTGCCTCCTGGAAGGTGATTCTTAATTAATTCTTCATGATCTTCCACTTCACTATTCATAGCTGACTAGAGGAGAGAGATGGAGGGAAATAGAATTTTAGGCTGCCTGTTTGAAAATGGTGTCCTAGAGTGCAGTGTGTTCTTTTGCATTATAGCAAAAGATGATTCACATATATATGGAAGTCCATTGATTGCATGAAATTATATTGGTAAAAAAATGCTCCATCTGGAAAATGGATAAATATGATTTTGTGTGCAATGCAATAAAAATGACTGTTCTATAGAACAAAAAATGAAATGTCTTGGTTTTCTAGAGTTTGTTCCTTCTTCTTTGAAGGTGGTGTAAGTGACTGGAAGAATCTTTTCACTGAAGATCAGAATGAGAAAATGGACAGAGCATTTGAAGAACATATAGCAGGAACGAAACTTGGGAAAAAGTTGAAGTATGACTTGTACTGCAAAGCCTGAAGAGAAATGAAATGTGGTTATAATAAGAACTTTGCAAGGCAGACTCAGACCATCTGAATTCTATACACTGGAAACCTAGATCAAAGGATCCAAGTATCTTAGATTTAATGTAGGAATCATTGCAGCAGCCTTTACAGTGACAGTGACGAGCCTTTTGTTTTAGTGTGAGACTTCAGGCTACACTCATTTGCTGAAGAAGATGGCAACTAACTATATTTACAAAAACTAAACAGCCTTGTTCAATGTATCACCTGGAAGAAAATGCCTCTTTTCTTTCTAGACACATTC